GGGAGGAGAACGAAGGGAGCCCTCGCAAAACGAAGTTGAGATTGGTAAAGGTGTTCCAGGTCCCTAAGGATAAGGTCAATTGCACTCCATTAGAGTTATGAATCGGTCTTAAGAAGACTTTATAAAGTAGTCTAATCGCCCTTTGGGCTCTTTTTCTCTTATCTTGGATTACAGAAAGTCGAGTTTCTCCTTTCTTCATCCGCTAAGTCGTGACTTTCAGCCGTACGAGTTCATGGCTTGCAGCCGTAGAAGGTTAAGCCCTTATTCCACTTGTTCCTCGTGGCGAGCTTGATCTTGGCTTCCAGTTGCTAAAACAAGTAACAAGTCTTGGCTTTCAGCCGCAGGAAAGGTAGTTCGGCCCCTACTATTGCTAAAGCGGGGGCCTTAACTCCAACTCCTTGACTTAAGCTTTTAACTCATAACTCCACTCGGGCTTCTTTTGGTGAAGCCCTCACTCCACTTTCAGACTTGTCAAGCTCGTATAGGGGTATCGGGAAGTTCCCAACCTGGGACGCAGACCCTAAAGGGTTGCTAATGTCCGAGGTTGGTTCCTCCCCTTGTTTTGTATCTCAAAAATAGTCATTCTTTACTTGCCTCGAGTAATCACGTATTGTAGTGTTTGAGAACACCGAAACCAACTATGGATTTGAAGCCAATACCGATCCTCTGACTGAAAACAGATCCGAAGCTAGGAGTGCCGCGAGTACCCAATATTAGATAAGTGGAGAGAGACCACTGGTTTATGATCTGACAGTTGACAAAGTCTACAAGAAGGCGGACGCTAAGGAGAGGGAATAACTACGAAACTAGACAAACTCATGACAGCCTCGCGAAGACTGCCCGCCCGTATAACGGCTGCCATAATGGAAGCCACAACGGAGCACCAGGGAAGCGAGCTAGCTACCTCACCTTGACCTGTTAAGACGACGAAAGGGTCAGCGACCACTCGTGGCCCCATACCATGTGATAGCGCGAAGCAAAAAGAATACTACACCGAGATGAAGAAAGGGAACCGGGACGAAGAGAAGGAAGGGAAATAGGAGGTTAACAGACCCTCAAGGCCGCTAGGGCCAAGAGTTGTTTAGCTACACCGGACACGAAAGACGAAGCCCTTTCCTTTAGTCGGCCGAGTGGGAACCCAACCGCAGGTCTCGAAACCCGGCAAAGCTTTTTGAGCTGAGACCGAGCATTACTCTAAGCAAAGCGCCATCTGGGAGGAGAACGAAGGGAGCGAAGTAGGGACCTAATAATAGCCTATTTCATTGCTTTAGTAATAGCCACACCGGATATTCTTTAGTAATCTGGGACGCAGACCCTAAAGGGTAGTTAATGTCCGAGGTTGATTCCTTCCATTGTTTTGTATCTCAGAAATAGTCATTCTTTCCTTGCCTCGAGTAATCACGTATTGTAGTGTTCGAGAACACCGAAACCAACTGTAGATTTGAACCCAATACCGATCCTCTGACTGAAAACAGATCCGAAGCTAGCAGTGCCGCGAGTACCCAATATCGGATAAGTGGAGAGAGACCACTAGTTTATGATCGGACAATTGACAAAGGCTACAAGAAGGCGGACACTAATGAGAGGCAATAGCTACGAAACGAGACAAACTCATGACAGCCTCGCGAAGACTACCCGCGCTCATATAACGGCTGCCATAACGGAAGCTGCGACAGTGCACCAGCGAAGCGAGCTAGCTACCTCACCTTGACCTGTTAAGACGACGAAAAGGTCAGCAACCACTCCTAGCTCCATACTGTATGATAGCGCGAAGCGAAGAGAAGACTACAGCGAGACAAAGGAAGGGAACCGAGACAAAGGGAAGGAAGGGAAATAGGAGGTTAACAGACGCTCAAGGCCGCTAGGGCCAAGAGTTGTTTAGCTACACCGGACACAAAAGCGAAGCCCTTTCCTTTAGTCGGCCAAGTGGGAACCCAACCGCAGGTCTCGGAACCCGACAAAGCTTTCCAAGTTGAGACCGAGCATTACTCTAAGCGAAGCGCCATCTGGGAGGAGAACAAATAGCATATTTTAAGCTTGTATGCTCTGAATTATTCCCCAAAAATCGTGATAAGTCAGGTTGTGGAAGCCCAAGACCATGCCACTCCACTCCTCACTTCCCCGTGCGCATGTGGTGCCTTTGTCCCCCACCATTGTGCCTCAATTGCTCCGCCCCTCTCACTTTATTTAAGGAACACTCCTCTGAGTTGTTAAGTCTCTTGGACACTTAAAGAACTTCAGCAAATTGAGATAAAATAGCTAGCAACCGAGAGCTTGCCCTTAATCCATTGCCGCGCGCGAGAAAGGGCGAGGAAGGGTTAGCCGCGAGTTCACCTTACTCCAGCCAAGGTCTCTTGAGTCTTATGATTATCCAAGTGTTTATTAGATTTTTATAAGCCTATTGAGCCTATCAACCTCAGCTATTTTAGCCTTCAAGTTAAGCCTAAGGACTTAAGTCGCGAGTGTGACCTAGTTGTGGCCATTAGCACCATTTCGACTTTTGAGCAAGGTAAGATCTTACCTATCATTTTTCCCAGCTTAATCATGATAAAAGGAATTATCATGTTGAAAAATGATACCATGCACGTTCATAATGTGGAGTTTCGAAATTTGAAGTTTAGTCCCTTAAATTCGAATTTTGTGATACATGCATGAGATGGCCGAGTTTGATGGCTTGAAATACCTTAAAAATCATGAGAATTACATTGGTAAAAGTTTGGCATGTTTTGATTTCATATGTTCGGTCAAGTTGCTAAGTGAAATCGAGCCATTTTCACCTCCGAACCTAAGTCTATGTGCATGCATGTTATGACCAATGTCCTAGCCTTCATAGCATTGATTTTTGATGTGGATTATTCGGCCCTAAGTAAATTTGCATGTTGAGCATGTTCATTTTGGTGACCTAGTGTAGCCTCGTGCCTAATCGGCCCCATAAGCCCATCTCCAAATCCAACCGAGATCCCTCAGTGACTTTTGGAATTTTTAAGTGTATTATGTCATATTATGTTGGGTTGGTTCAGTATTCACCGGAAAAAGTGGCCGGAAGTCCGGTAAGGACCGGCTAGGGTCACCAGCCGCGCCAATCGCGCATGCTGTGCCCGTGCTGTGTCGCAAAGGCCAGGCAGTGCCTCTGTCCGTGCCCGCGCCTAGCGCTCGCGAGGCACCGCAGCCCCCAGCGCACGCGTGCCAGTAGCACACCCGAGTGTTCAGTGCCGCGCCTTAGTGAACCCGAGCCGTGTTCAGAGGCCTCGGGACGTGCCCAACAGCATGCCCGAGCAGTCAGTTGGCCCGAGACGTGCCCAGCAGCACGCCCGCGTGCCCAGGGTCACCCGGCAGCACCCTGACAGCCTTAGCCGCGCCCGAGCCACGCGAGTAGTGCCTGGCCGTATCACTTCTCGTGCCAGACGCACTCGGGTCGTGCCCAGCCGCACGCCCAGTGCCCAGTCAGCCCGGGTACGTGTCAGCCCCGCGTCCCGCGTGTTCGGTTATGCCCAGCAGTGCACCAACACTCCAGTGACCCTTGGTCGTGCCCAACAGCACCTAGTGGCACCAGTCGTGCCAGCCGCACCGCCCGCGCCCAGCAGCGCCTAGCACCGAGGCCGGTCGCACCGAGCTTATGTCTAGCGCCGTGCTAGGGGCCCAGCAGACCCGGCACGGGACCGAGCCCGGCCACTCCAAGTAACCCGTGACCACCCGGTCCATAGTGAACCAGTGGTCCGACCCGGTCCGGTTCAGCCTGACCCAGTTAAGTTAGTGAGCAAACCGGTCAGTTTTGCCGGCGGTTCGAGTCAGTTTTGGTTCGTGATTTTCAGTCCGAGTCTTATTCCAAAATTTAAGAAAATTTTCCGAGCCAAACCAGATCAGTTAAGAGCATCAGTCTAAATTTTCTGACTTAGAATTATTTCAGTGAATCCATAGAGCGTTCCTTTATATCCGGATGAGTAATCTGATAGAGTAGAGCATCTTAGCATATTATTGAGCATATGACGAGCATAGTACTTTGTATATTTGTTTGCTTAAGGAGTCAGCTACCAGCACATCCGCACTTACCTATTTTTCAAAGCAGATCAGGTGGGGACCCAGTCTAGGTTATACATTGAGTATAATAGTCGATATCACGTTCAAGTATGTATATGAGTTTTATCCGCTTGGGGTTAAGGCCGAGTTGTCCTTCCCTAAGTTCTGGTGGTGGCCCAGTTCATCTTAAATATACCATCAGAGTGTGCACACGGTACCGGCCAGTGTCTGGGAGATTACAGTTACCGGCCAGAGTGTTCGGGAGTTTCAGTCACTTATATATACCAGTTCTGTGATATCATTATTATTATTGTTGTTTACTTTAGAATGGGTTTTTATGGAGTACAAGTGGACCTTACTCACCCCCACTTTATATTTTCAGATGGCAGGGTCGGCGGGCAGGTGTGAGTCGAGCTGTGGTGGTTGTGGTCGTGGAGATGGCACAACGAGCCGTTCTAGGGACATTTGTTATCATGTTTTGTATAACTAATATTTCCACGCATTTTCAGACTTTTCGCTATGCTTGCTTCACTAGTAGAAAAAACACTTTTCACATCGGGTGTTTACATCGGTTTTTTCACAACCGATGCAAAAAACACTTTTTACATCAGTTGTAACATCGGTTTTTACAAAACCGATGTAAATCGTCATCAGGCGCATCGGTTCTTATAAAACCGATGTGAACAATTTGGTATAAAATATTATTTACATCGGTTCTATGTACAACCGATGTTAAAAATATAATATACAACATCAGTTTAATAAAACCGATGTATTCTAGTATAAAAAATACTTTTCACATTGATGGTTTACATCGGTGTTGTTCAAAACCGATGTTATATTATGATCTTTCCTTGGGCAAATCGGTTATTGTAAACCGATGTTAGGCATCATATTATTATTTATGTAGGAAAATAACTGTTCAATTCTCCAACTCTCCTTCCTCACGCTCAGAGCCTCCAACTCTATTTCTGCAATTTATTTCACGCCCCCCGTCGCCGTAACAATCGCCGTCCACCGCACTCGGCCTTCGCCTTCCGCCGCACTCGGCCCTTGCCGTCCGACGTCTTCCTAACTCTCGTCTTGCCCAAAATCAATAGAAGCTCTAGTCGCACTTGGCCTCCGTCCGTCCCAATCCCTAGTCGTCCGCCACACTTAATCCGCTCGTCGCCGTAACAATCTTCATCCGCTGCACTCGGCCCTTGCCGTTCGTCATCTTCCTAACTCCCGTTTCGCCCAAAATCGATCGAAGCCCTAATCGCACTCGCCCTCCGTCCGTCCCAATCCCTAGCCGTCCAGCACACTAAATATGCCCTCGCCGTCCGTCCCAATCCCAGTCGCGCGCCGCCCGTCAGCCGCTCTTAGACCCTAGAAACTCAAATACGGTAATGCCGATGAAATTTATATTGTAGTGAATTTAATCATGTGTGTTTTCTGAATGTGCCAATATGTTGTTGTTTAATTGGAAAAAATGTGGCAGCGTAATCATATTATGCAGCTTATTGTTGTTGTTAAAGGCATAGGCTTTAACTGCCACAGTGAAAACTTTTGTGTGTTTTCCTCAATTTTATTGTTTAGTAATCTTTAAAAGTTCCAGCTGTAATCGTCTTTTGTGATGTAGCAGTTCCAGCTTTCTATTTAAACCTTGCATTTGCTAATTGCTAACTTTAGTGCCCCGCATGCATTAGCGTTTTTGTGGCAATGGTACAATTCTAGAACAGAAAATATCAATGCATTGAAGTACCAAATCTAATCTCAATCTGCTCTGCATCTAAGATATTAAAACAGGTTTTTGTTTCCAATACTCTTGCACTCAAAGGAACATAGCCGCTAATCTCTGTTCATAAATAGCAATGCTAACATTTTTGGTTAACCTTGTATGAGTGATGTCATCATGGTGAACATGTTATTAACTTGCAAATGCTGTTTATTTTCTGTGCGGTGCTCCACAAGCTCTGCTCCAAAGCTGCCTGACGTTTGGGGCTTTCTCATTCATAATTGAAGGTCTTAACAAGCAACAACCAGCACTTGCTTCCTCACTTAAAATGGGTGTCAACAAGCAACACTATGGTGAGCTTCCTCCTTTATCACTCGCCATCCCAACGAGCTCAAGGAGTCGTTTTCGTCATTTTGCCGGTCCATTAGAAAATGATGTGGTGAGAGTGCCTTCGTGTAGTGATTTAAAAAAATGAGAAAACGGACTGTGACTCAGCTTATTTATGGAGTGTTGTGGGCTGATGGTCTTTGTAAATTTTCGTTTCTTGAGATCTTGAAATCTGATAAAAATTCTACCCTTTTTTAGAGCTAAATTATGTTATGACAACCCCATTAATAAACGTATAAAACTTAAGAAAATACTTAAAAAGAACATGAAACAAACGAAACTTTGCCATTTAATATCATTGTAAAATGTTAATACATGTCATGTCTTGTGCTTGCCTCTTGGAGCTTTTTTCTGACTGTGTGGTTTGGAAATCTTGTGCAGATAACTAATTTGCCATTTTCTTTATACTCTTTTGTCATTGAGGAACGCCATGAGTTCAACAAGGTAGTTTCGTCATTTGGTCATATTACACACTTAATAACAATTAGACTTTCACGTTTTTAACTTGATCTTTGTATTAAATTTTACACAACTCACATTTGCTGGTGATAAGCATTCCTTTGATTTTGCAGTAAACAGTATGGTTATTCTTCAGGGATATGATCAAAGGAATTCTTTTATCTGCTGTGATTGGTCCACCTATTGTAGCTGCTATCATAATTATTGTGCAGGTATTTTATCAGTAAAAATATACGGGATATTAATGAAATCTTATGAATTTGAAGTGACATTATCTCTCTCTCTCTCTCTCTCTCTCTCTCTCTATATATATATATATATATATATATATATATATTTACTATGAATTGTATCATGACTTTCGGTAAGTGTTAATGCAGAAAGTAGTAGGATTTTTATAGAGGATTTGAATTATACTATGAAATAGTGTTGCTTTTGAAAGTGGTTATATTCTAAATGAAACTCGAGGTGTTAGTTATATATTTATTTATTCTAACAAGTAGCTTCCAGAGGGAGATCTTAGGACCAAAATTGAGAATCTTGCTTCATCTCTTAAATTTCCATTGAAAAAAAAGTTTGTTGTTGATGGATCAACAAGATCGAGCCACAACAATGTGAGTGTGCTTTCTTTTTTTGTATTCGTGCATTTTCTGTAATCATTTCAGTTACTGCTTTTATTCTTTGGTTGCCCGACATTTTTGTCTCATTTTATGGCGACCTATGCTGCAGGCGTACATGTACGGATTTTTCAAGAACAAGCGAATTGTCCTTTATGACACATTAATTCAGCTGGTATGGAGTATTATGCTTTGTTTTGTCTCAATAAACTTAGAAGCGCTTTAATGAAGACTTATATTCATTTATACTTTATGACACTTTTACATTGGCAAGTCCTTTGAATTGGGTATATATATTTATCTCTTTGTGAATTTCTTTTTATGTTGTGCAAGTTAGTTTGGCTAGATTCTTAAGAGCTCATACAGTTTTGTTATATATGTTAGAATGCAAAATATAGTTCGGATGGAGTTGAGAGCCAATTGAATAAATATTTATTGTTACAACATAATAAAATCTGCAATAGCAGCTGATGAAATAACTCTACTTCTCAGATCGTAGGAACAGCTAGACCAAAGGCTATTATGTAATAACTTTTACAACTCACCTATCAAGTGTCTGAAAACAATTGGGAGATGAAGCGTGTGGATATTTTGTTATGAGGTATATGCTCGAGATTATATCACTTGACATTACCGACTCGTTTGAAGAGGTAAGTTTTTATTAAAATCAACTTATTGTTGTATTTGAAATCACACAATTCAATAGAGGTTATAGTGATAATATTTGTTTGTATCATGTAGGCTTTCAACATTGATGGGCCATATTCGGACGAGGACATTGAGAATATAAAAATGCGGTGGACAAGTACTTTCTTAAGGTTACTTCATTAGGAAAATAGACTTATCAATTTTGTTACGTTTTATAGAATTTGAACTTTATAACAAATTATGGTTGATGACTGTTGTTGGTGTAGTGCATATGGAAACTATTGTTATAACTTGGTGTTATTGAAATATGTTGGTTGTTAGTACTTGTCATGTGGCATTTTGAATTGTGGGAATATTTTGAATGTATGAATGTTATTATTTTATAGTAATAGATTTTTAGATTTATAGGTAAAAAAAATGTATATTTAAATAAAATCGTTGTAAAATGCTTGATTTTACATCGGTTTTTAAAAGCTAATGTAAAAACCGATGTTAAATGTCTTTATTTACATCGGTTTTATCAATAACCGATGTATATATGTCTTTATTTACTGTATCATGACATCGGTTATTTTGATAACCGATGTTACATGTCTTTATTTACATCGGTTTTATGAATAACCGATGTATATATAACTTTTTTGCATCGGTTTTTATCAAAACCGATGTTAAATGTCTTACTTTACATCGGTTGTTAAACAAACCGATGTAATATAATCGATTTTTTCCATTTTCGAGACTTATTTTTTTCCCTTATAACATCGGTTGTTCTGAAAACCGATGTAAATAAGTTTTTTTTTACATCGGTTCAAAACCGATGTAAAAAAGGCTTAGTTTTAACATCGCCTGTTTTAACATCGGTTCTAAAAAGGGGTTTTAACCGATGTGAAAGTGATTTTTAACCGATGTGAAAAGTGTTTTTTCCACTAGTGCTTTTATTTCGAACTTGCATGACAGTACTTTCAGACTTAAATAATTTATCCAGTTCGCCAGTACGAACGGGACCAATTAAAAATGCAAGATTCGATAAAAGATGTAAATCTGATTTTCTTAAAGTCTAAACCAGTTGATAAACCTAGTTAAGGAAAACGGATTTTCAAAGCAAATAAGTATTTAGCAGCATCCCGAGATAAGTTTGCAAATGATTGTGAAAAATTTATAAGCATTTTCGAAGGTAACATTTGCGAAAAATTGGCCCTAAGTAGAGGGGTGTTGCAACGGAAGCTGCGACGGAGCACCAGCGAAGCGAGCTAGCTACCTCACCTTGACCTGTTAAGACGAGGAAAGGGTCAGCGACCACTCGTGGCTCCATACCGCATGATAGCGCGAAGCGAAGAGAAGACTACACCGAGACGATGGAAGGGAACTGAGACGAAGGGAAGAAAGGGAAATATGAGGTTAACAGAGGCTCAAGGCCGCTAGGGCCAAGAGTTGTAAAGGGACGACAATCACTTTGATATCCACTTTGCAATTTAAATAATAAAATCCTCACAATTTCTCAACTAAGGTACGTATTTAACTTCACGAAGCACGTTCAACACCCATTTCATATAATCAAACATATCAAATAATACAAAGAATTAAACGAGACGGGTCCAGCCCTGTACCGTTCTCGGGATTCGATCGGAAACGGAAACGAAGGGTCGAACGACTATCTCGCAGAGTGGACAGCTCGTCCGTTAGCACATGACGGAGCTCGCTGAAGGTCAAGGGCTGAGAGTGACGTCCCACGAAGGAGCAGGTCGCGGTGTCGGGTTGCTGCGTTTGGGAATCGCCGGAAACGGGCCGGCAAGTTGCTGCTCGAGTCGCGGCAACGTCGGCGAGGTGCGCTCGCGGTCGGATAGCAGGCGCGACGAGGGGATGACTGGCTCACGAAGAGAGAAGGTTCGTCGAGTCCGTTGAAGTCGCTGCTGGCTCGCGGTGGCGTGAGGGGCTGCAAGTCGTCGGCGGTAAAGGTTGCAGCGGCGGAGCTTCACGGCTGGGGTCGTCGGGCTCGTCTCTGTTCGCGGAGGGATTTCGCGTGAAGGGAGTCGCCGGCGTCCGTCGAGGTCGCTGTGTAGGTGGCTCGCCGGAAAAGCTTTGCGGAGAGAGAACTCGCGATCTGTTGGTGATGGTGGCGGTGATTAGAGGGTGATGGCAGGATGGTGATGAATCTCGCGAGGAAAATGGTGGAGGAGTGATGATAACGATGATGATGAGAGGGGATGATGATGGAGAGGTGAGATTGAGAGGGTGAAGACGATGATGAGGGGTTTGGTTTTTGCGAGAGAAAACTCTCTGCTCTGATATCGCGATTGAACAGACGCAAAGAGGAAGGCTGCGGGATATTTGTTTTCTCTCTTCTGATTCTCACGTAATAAAGAGAGATTAGGGTAAAAGAAAAATCTTGTTGGGCCAGACACATACACATTCACTGGGCGGGCCGGTTCGGGTCGGGTCTGATTCGGTTACGGGCTCGCGGGTTTAATGAAATGATTCGGCCCAGCTCTCGGGCTCAACTTTCGTTTTTCTCGGGCTCGATTCGCTCGATAAAATAAATAAACCGGGTATAATATATATTTATAATACACACAATTTAATTTTTAAAATAATAATAATATTAGTAAAAATACAAAAACACATTTTAATTAAATAATAACACTTAGACAAATAGGCAATTTATTTACAATTTAGACAATTAAGCAATTTGGCAAATAAATCATATTAGACAATTAATAATTTATAGCATTCAATAAATAATAATAATAACAATATTTAAATATAAATAATAATAATAATAATAAATAATTATCAAAATTCCATAATTCAACGGGGCATTACATGATGGATTTTTTATCTTCAAGCACATGTCCACCCACAATGGGGTGGTCGTTACACGTGACCATCCAGCCTCTCGGCCTTAATCATGATGGATTTTTTGTCTTCGAGCATATGTCCACCCTCGAAGGAGTGGTCGTTACATGCAACCATCCAGCCTCTCGGCCTTAATCATGATGGATATTTTGTCTTCGAGCACATGCCCACCCTCGAAGGGGTGGTCGTTACATGCGACCATCCAGCCTCTCGGCCTTAATCATGATGGATTTTTTGTCTTCGAGCACGTGTCCACCCTCAAAGGGGTGGTCGTTACATGCGACCATCCAGCCTCTCGGCCTTAATCATGATGGATTTTTTGTCTTCGAGCACATGTCCACCCTCAAAGGGGTGGTCGTTACATACGACCATCCAGCCTCTCGGCCTTAATCATGATGGATTTTTTGTCTTCGAGCACATGTCCACCATCAAATGGGTGGTCGTTACATGTGACCATCCAGCTCTCGGCCTTAATCATGATGGATTTTTTGTCTTCAAGCACATGTCCGCCCTCAAAAGGGTGGTCATTACATGCGACCGTCTAGCCTCTCGGCCTTAATCATGATGGATTTTTTTTCTTCGAGCACATGTCCGCCCTTAAAGGGGTGGTCGTTACATGCGACCATCCAGCCTCTCGGCCTTAATCATGATGGATTTTTTGTCTTCAAGCACATGTCCACCCTCAAAGGGGTGGTCGTTACATACGACCATCCAGCCTCTCGGCCTTAATCATGATGGATTTTTTGTCTTCGAGCACATGTCCACACTCGAAGGAGTGGTCGTTACATGCGGCCATCCAGCCTTTCGGCCTTAATCATGGTGGATTTTTTGTCTTCGATCAGTCATTCAACATAGGCTACCACATATGCACAATAGAATTAAAATAATCGATTAGGCAAAGTGTTGAAAATTAAAATGGAAATTTCATTAATAAAGATTGAGAATTCAAGTACATCATTGTTGTGAAAAGTTTCCAACAAGAGAAACAGGAAGAAGAAAAAGAAAGGAAAAAATTTTAAACACAATATTTCTTCCAGTTAGCCACATTTCATGACCTGGGGAGTGATCTTCCTTCAGCATCTTTAAGTGAATATGCTCCTCCTGCATTAACCTTCTCGACCAGGTATGGTCCTTCCCAGTTGGGCTCGAGCTTTTTCATATGCTTCAGCACATCCACCCTTTTCCAAACTAGGTCACCCACTTGGAATCTCCTAACTTTCACCTTCCTGTCATGTGCTGCTCGTATCCTTTGTTTGTACGCCTCAACTCTGATCGAGGCCCGTTCTCGAAGTTCTTCAATCGTGTCGAGGGCTGCCATCATCAAGCTCTTATTCTGTTCTGGATCATATGCACTCGACCTCTGTGACTGGACCTCGATCTAAATCAGGAGTAATGCCTCCATACCATAAAGAAGACTGAATGGTGTTTCTCCCGTGGTCGACCTTGGAGTTGTTCTATACGCCCAAAGTACTGAAGTGAGCTCGTCAACCCATGCGCCCGACGCCTTCTCCAGTCTCGTTTTCAGGCCATTCAGTATGATTCTGTTTGTCACTTCAACCTGCTTGTTGGCTTGCGGATGAGCAACCGATGCAAAATGTTGCTCGATCTTCATGTCATCGCACCATGCTCGAATCCGCTTGCCATTGAACTGTGTATTATTGTCGGATATTAACA